GTGCTCGTCGAGCACTACTACAACTCGTAGTCTACAAGCGCTGCTCCCGTGATTAGTGAGACTGGTGATTCTGTGACAAGCACTACTAGTAGTAGTTCACAGTAGACTGTCTACTACGACGAGGCGTCCTGTGACCAGCACTATCACGACCAATGGTCTTGTGAACAGCAGTATTAGGCGCTCACCCCGATGCAAAATTTAGCGATCAGATTCACGCAGATATACGCCCAGTTCCTCAGTTCTATTTCTTCTGCTACCAAGAAACGGCAGCAGAAATTGACACAAATGGAAGCAACCAGAGAATCACTACTATTTCAACTTGAAATATTCAGCTATCTAATAGTAGTTATTCAACTACTATTCAAACTTCAAGTATTATTGGAGTATTACTGAAGTATCACGGACTTTTGGCTCACTTATTCACAGTTATCTATTTCCAATGTGGGCAATGTATGGGCCAATCTGGCCCGGGCAAAGGCGGACACTCTAGCATGCAAGCCCTTTACAGGGGTCTGATGCGTTGGGGACAGAATTTGGCTTATTTAGACACATGACCCATGCCTTACGTAGCATTTCCGGACGCACTCTTCACGATTTCCGATGGAGGGTCTTCATTACAGCACTAATTTCTGACCAAGCTACATGATTCCTCGATTGTCAGAAACTGTTTCTGAGTGTTACACACAAAATGAGGGGAATGCAGTCTCGTGGACAATTTCATGATAAGCTGAGCGTTCCAGGTATTCTACTGAGAGATTATCATTGTGAGCCGGCCCACGGACTGATAAACCCGAAAGCCTTTTCGATCGCTCAAGTAGCCCGAAGTCGCTTGGAGGATCCCGGTACTGACCAACGGAACCCAACATGGGGCTTCTAAATACTAGACAACGCCTACAAAAGGTAACATGCTAGTTCTTGGAATGTTCCAAATTGAAGATCTCGCCCTCGTCTTCCATCGTGTTGAGGCTGACTAAATAATTCGAATACTCGCTAACATCGGCGTTCATAATATCTCTACGACGTGCCTGAAACTCGGCATCACCACTGGCAACAAGAATTAAGCTATGTCAAATATATGATTATCAATCGAGTGAGGCTTCATTGATAAAGAGTACAACCATGACGATTCGTCATCGACGAACAATGTCAGTTGGGGAAGCTTTTATCATGCAGTGTCCAACACAAAGCCACCTCCAAACGCCTTTTCTCTTTGGTTGTCTCGACGGCCAATGTATTCTCCTCCTGTCGCAGTTGATCGCCTAAAAGATTTGCTGCTGAGCCACTCAGACGTTCAGATGCTAACGTGACGGCAAAGAATGGCCATTCTCCTTCAGTGGCCTCACTGAGTCGTTTATATTCCCCAATAGCTTCTTTGGTGGTACTTATGGCTTCGGCCCCTTCCTTTAGCGCACGCTCGAGTCTTCTACTATCATCGCTCCTTATCCCAGAACGCGACATCCTAAATCGAGCTCACTCATTAATTATGAGTGAGCCCGATTTAAGATGTCTCATTATGAGTCATAATGAGGTCAGCTAAATAAGATAAACGAAAACGCACTTCTACCAAGGCGAGTCTCTCCAGGAGACACGATCGATGGAGAATAATATTCACAATTAGTCAGAGGAAGAGCCGATACGGATGTAAAGTGAGTCGCCCATAACTGGATCGTCGACTCCCGAATGCCTTACAGTAAAGGGGCGATCGAGCCGTGACTCTTGTACTTCTTCGCTCTTAGATGATGCTGTACTAAGGGTGAATATCTACGTTGAACATTGACGGCGTCGGCAAAGTAGGCGGAGACGTTACTTCAATTGCACTTTTACACGGCCAGCCACGGAGTCGTCTCCCTGAGGGCTCAGCGCTGCATAGGCTTCATCATCAACGACGTTCTAGAGGGCGACTGAGATGAATCGACAGCACGGCACTTGCCTGCGAGTTCGGCGGAAACTCATCAAATTCACGGGACTCCTCTTGGATGATCGGGGTCTCTGATCAGCGATAGGGTTAGCTCCTCCACTATTGATTGAAAGAGCCTACTGGTGCCGCTTTTTCCCTCGGCCATCATCGCTAATACGTCGCCCCCACCGAGATTGAGCTTCCAATGGGAGGTGTCTGGGAACTCAGGAACGGCACCTAACCGTGAGGTGGGGCCTTCCCACTAAAGACGTTGTTGATAGTGCATCAGGAGCGAACATCAACGATACTGCATGTGTTGTGATACATTGGTGGTAGCTTCAAGAGGGGCTCCCTTTACCAGTGGTCCAGAAGGCGAACAACGAGACGAGGGATTTCCTAAATTCGTTGCTGAATCTCATCCGCGATTTCGGGAAAGCCAAGAACATGCCGTATAGCACCGTTTGTGCCACAGCGTCGTAGAACCTCTGAGTGACGGGCAGCTCTAATTCAGGCCGTCTGGAGTGCGGGGAGTTCCCACCTCGAAAAAGAATTCCCGTCGACTGGGCTTGATAACGTCCAACAACTTCACGTAGTTTGCGGATATTCTGTCGAAAAGCTTGACTGCGGTTGCACGATAGATTTTAGGTTTGAAGTAATGACAAATACAGAACCTACGGAAAGTATGGAAGCATTGACGGTATGTTGTTGGTCACCAAAAGCTGTCGCAGACGATGGCTTGGCTAGTAGCTGATAGGAAATCGTCTGCCCAAGCTGCTCGAGTTTTGACCGTTCGCCCCTGGCATGCCAGATTGGCAATGACGTTCGTCAGCACCTGTGTGCAGTCTTGGGCTTTTCCAAGATCCGATGGACAGTAGCTTCCCGAATGGGTCTTCCGAGTCAACGTACCTTCTTTGTTGGTATAGTTTTGGGTAGTGGGTAGAAGAGTGTATTCGGATCAGTAATATTCGGATCATCAGGGAGGGGAGTCACAACGTCTTCAACACGGAAGATGTCGAACTCTGTGGTTGGTTCTGAAAGCAACACACATCCTGTCGCTTGCAGTTCCTCTGGTCTGTCCGACGGGCCATGCTTTTGTCGTTCGTCACCGTTTGAACTTCCTCATTACTTACTAATGGAAGCTGACTCCCGGATGTCCTACCAACACCGATCAAAGGATCAAACTAGTACAAGCAATACGAATGACGCTCACAATGTTGACGAGATGTTCACAGCTGTCACGAAAGTCTCATCGCCGCCGCGTGTCATGTGACCACCGAATAAATCGATACTATGCAATCTCAAGCTCAATCTCAGTTCTCTGAGGGCCTAGCGTGCATCTTCAAAGCTCAGAGTCGTGAATCTCCTTATTCTTCTTCTTTTCTTTTTGTCGAAAATTTTCAAGAGAAAAGTTCCCGCAATTAACTCTGCCCGCCAACCACGTGGGCAAATTCCGAAGCCACGCTTATTGGGAAGCTGGGTCCGGCAAGCGTAATATATAAATCAGAAATTAGCGCATGTTATCAGATCAGCTACGGAGCGAAACGCCATTCCCATTGTATCATGCGTGGCTCGCCCACTTGGAGGAATAAAGTGAGCGAGGCCCAGACAGGAGTTTTCTGATCCAGCAAAACACTGCTTAGTTGAGTCAGGCTGATTCAACAGAGCAGTGTACCGTTGAAACAGATTCAATGTGATACTAATTTGCTGATTCAGTCAGCACACCGGATCATCCGATTCGGAAGTGCTTTGGGCTCCCCACGCAAATGATGGGTTCTCGAACTTCCACAGGAGGAGCTTCCGACCTACATAACACGATGTCATAGATGTTCTCATGCATCATCGCAAGCTATAAATTGCAGTGGAAAGAACTCGTGCTCTGATGTAGCGAGTCATAATTGGGTCGGAAATTATTGACATCAATTTGATGTTCTTATCAGCGAAATCGACTTCCCTGATCATGGGATTGAGAGCCTATTCGTAAGAAAATCACGGAAATCGGAATCTCGAGTATCTATTCTATGCGCGCCACGTTTTTCTCAGCGCGCCACTTCTTTTCTTCTTCCACCACTAATTCCTAGTAGGAATTTCCTACTCCACGCCACAAATGTCCCTCACGCAGCACAAATTTTTCTTTCGCTTGTTCTTTTCCTAGAACGAACTCCGCGCGCCCAGCATTCGTAGGGCCCCGACTCCGGGTTTCCTTGTTCGCAAATATGATGCACTCATGATGAACTCCAATGTGTACGATAAATCCTAATACGGGGACATAGCAGACTTATAGACCGAATAAAAGATCTCTCGATGAAACGAATGATTCGCCGAGTAGCATTCTTCTGAATATAATATGTAGGAGTCCTACAGTAGGACCATGCTACTAGAATGGTGAATCCAGCAAGGTCTTCTCACGGAGAGGTCGTAGAATGACCAACGATGATGAAGGCCATGCTGCGGTAGACCGTGGACCGCAGAAAAAAATAATTACAAATATTAATAATACAAAATAATTACCAATCAGCATACGATCAGGGAGAGTCCAAGCACCTCTACTTTTTTTGCGAGAATGAGTAAACAGATACCATTTTGATTCCTGGCGTAGTTCGTGTATGCCACCGTGAATGAAGTTATGCCTTTAGAACCCAAGTCAAACCTCAACAGTGGCAACTTGCTTATGTATTGGCAAGGGAAGGACCATAGCATCTCTGACAGAGATTCTCTGTTGAGTCGAACTTGATGTCAAGTTGACATCGTCAACATGCGTACCCGCAGCCTTGCCAGCTTGAGCTCCAATATCCTTGATGAGGCTCTCATAGTATAATGTTGGGACGTATAGACAGTTGGCGCCGGTGTCGAGATCTAGGTTCATGTTGATTCCAAGAGTTGTATGCCCATCACCGACTTGTAGCTTGTCAATATTAACCGTGTACTCTGTAGATGTGCGCCATGATATCTCCAAAAAGTTTCGGATAGCCCGACCATGTTGAGCTTCTGACTCGGCTAGCACCAAGCTCACATAATCATCGTAGATTTCAGGACCGTTAGCCCCAAAAAGACGAGGCAAGTACCGAGCGATGAATTGCCGATAGTCGCCTTTACTGTTTTTAATTATCAGTGGTGATTTACCACTCCAGTTTTTCGGAAGTTTCTAGCGCATGCCAGCGTAATGTTCGATGTGAAGGCCATCTCATGTATCCCCTACGCTCTTCACCAATCTCAAAGCAGAGCCGGATATTGGTCGTGATGGACGTGATAAAGGATGGAGTTAATTAAGTTAGCTAGCAGGATATGGTTTGAAAATGCAAAATGCGGTTTCACATCCTGTTTCCTCTCGTCGGGCGACCTGGACTTGGGAGAATAAATGATACGGCAAGTCGCCCTAACGCGTGAATGTCGTGATAAATAACTTATTTAAAATAAGAGAGCAATAAGTGACCTACTCTTCATTGCTTCACGGCTACATCTACTTCACGTTCTAGGCGTGACCATCACGCCTAAAACGTGAAGTAAATATAGATGGAATTGCTAGTGAGTTCAACTCACAGACTTTCACGTATTGATGTCACTTGGGCGAAACAACACTCCGAGTCGAGACTGCTCAAGTTCAATATCCGGGACCGGGAACACCCTACGACAGAAATACTTGACCATCAATTAATACTTCCGTTAGTCTTGTGTCAGGATCTCCGATCCAGCGATTAGGCAACACGGTCTTGATTATGTAGACCTCGACGTCAGAATTTCACGGTGAAATGATCATACGTAAGAGCTAATGAGTAAGTAATTGGAGAGCATTCAACGTAACACGCGACACAACAACCTAGCAGTCGGAACTCCAATCGTGGTAATGATTCCTAGTAAGGAATCGACAAGAGTGAAATCCTGGACGACAGTCTGTCGTCGACAGAAGAACACAACGTGCACAATGAAGCACGCAGTAGAAACCACAGCGTGCACAAGTGCTTCAATAAACGCTAGACTGATCACATACAAATTAGATGAATGTGTTGATAAGAATCCTGTGGGATATCATCAGGTCGTGCTTTCTTCCCCCCTTGAGTCAAGGGCCTCGACTCGTAGGTAGGATGCGGAGGTCGCCCGAGAAAGGTGTCGACTGGACTCCAGGCACTGGAGGGCATCCAGGCGAACCTCCCCCTCCTGGTGGACAAGGTGATCAGCTGCAGCGTGCTGCTTGCACCTCAGCAGTGACCATCACATCCACCCTCTCCTATTCCTCTGTGTCATGGAATTTCATAGCTGCACTACATGTCAACAAACCCCACCGTCGAAACTCAACTTCCTAACCCTTGATATTCGGAACTGTCATTGATGTTAAGTTGCCGAGGAGTATTGGGAATTGGGCGTGCGCTATCGACAACTATGAAATCGTGAGGTCTTTTCCTCAGGTTTCACTTTGTATAACGGCTCGTCAGCCGTCCGAACTCACCAGGAGCCGTCGATAGTGTCACGCTGCAAGAATAGACAATCGTTCAGAACTGTCCAAAACTGTACTCGACCTCCATCCGCTCAAAGTTAGTACAATCTTCAAGATTGAATCTTGCACACTAACAAGCTTCCTAACTTCAAGCTAACCTATCTTTTAAGAGGTGCGTCGAGACGAAACGCTAGCGGGCTGCTGGCAGGGAAGGTGAACTGGATAAATGGGATTACCCGTAGCAACTTGTACCAATCCGCGTGTAAACTAGTCTGACGAATGGGGAAACACAGCTCCCACTGAGCTCAGCTTAGAAAGCGAACATTCTAACACTGTCAGCTAGTTCCCGCACGTTATAGGACTATGTAGTCGCAGAATCCACTCCGCCACACGTCGGAGTAGCCCAG